AATTGATCCAGGATGTAATTGATCATAGGCATCGGGTACGCATCCTTTACCGACTTGGCGTTGATTTGTCGGAAATCTACGCACAGCCTCCATTTTCACGTCATCTTTTTCACCATGACGATTGGAGAGCTGTACGGGCTTCTTGTAGGCTCGATGCATCCTTTTTCTAGCAGGTTGTCTACCTTTTTGTTATCTCTCCCTGCATTTTGGGGTTTTTTGGGTAGTACCGCTGCTTCACTGGCTGGTCGTCCTTCATCGTGATCTTGTGGACGGCTATGTTTGATGCTCCGCTTGACTCTTCTAGAGCTTTCAGCTCCTCCTTCAGGAATTTGGCGATGTCCTCTTCCGAAAACTGTTCTGGTGTTTCTACCACTGCCACCGACAGTCTTTCTTCCAGCATTCCTAGTCTGCGCTTCCTTGCTGGTATCGCCACCTCGAGTCCTGCGCATTTTACCTCCGCTCCTATTTTTGTGAGGAAAACCCAGCCCAATACTAGGGCATCTATCACTCTTGGGAGGATTAATAACTGCATCAACACCTTTCTCGTCCCGAGACCAACCACTATCTCCAGCTGTGATTGGATGCTCCCGCATCTTCCGTCTGCCATGCGCACCTGCCTTCTCGTTGGTACGACCTTACCGGCGGCCTGCAACCTGTCCGCCAACTCTTCGCTTATAAAGCTTGCCGTGGCGCCAGTGTCCACCGTGGTCTTCACTTTTCGTTTGTTTATGAGCACTGTGGCGGACAGCTGCATCTCTTCCGCCTTCAGGTCGCCCATTAGTTTCGAGAGGCAGCACCTTGCGATCCCTGGCCGCCCCCGGCGGTGCGTTACGCTCGTCTGGCTCCTCCTGACAGCGCCTGCACGTGGCTGCAGGTTCTCTCCTCATGGCCGGCGCATGGTATCGGGCTTTTGTGACATTCTCTTGCTCGAACCGTTCCCTCTGCTGGTCGAGCTCCTCAAATTCGTCCGCTAGTGCCATCAGGGTATCCAGGTTCTGGAACCTGTAGGGGCGGATAAACAGCCGTAGTGTCGGGGTGCTGTTTTCCTTAATCCGCTCCAAGATTTCGTCCTTGTTCAAGCCCAGGGGTCGCATCAGTGTCTGCATGTCTACCATGTAGTCCTTGAAGCTTTCGCCGTAGTTCTGCTTCCTCTGCCTGACCTGATCTGCGAGTTTGTTCATGAACCCCCTGGGCAAGAAGTACTCCTGGAAGCTCTGGCTAAATCCGCCCCAGGTCTCCCAGAACCTGTTGTTGGCGATGAACCATTTGAGCGCTCTGCCCTGAAGCAGTTCCGGCATCGCCCTCGGAATTTGGTTTATGTCTAGCCCTTATGTCATGGCCGACCACTCCACTTGTTCGAGGAACGCCAGGGGCTTCTCATTCCCGAAACTCCACTCCCTGACTTGTTTTGCGATCTTGGCATAATCCTGACCGGGTCTGCCATTCTCCGCACGTTGTTCGCGGTTGTCGCTCTTCCTCTCTCTGCTGTTTTCCCGTCGGTCGCGGCTGTTACTCCTGCTGGCGTTCTGCATGCTGCTCACGTCCAGGCTGCGCACCAGGCCCTCGGCTCCGGTGACTTTCAGGCCGACCGACGGGTACTTGGCGTAGTCCCTTTCCAGGGCCGCCAGAGTTGCAAGTGCATCAGGATCATGCCCGGAATGGTCGATGAATTCGGCCAGTGTCCGCCTCATTTCCTCTACAAGGCACTCTAGCTCGATGCCTAGGGCGCTTGCGATCGCCGGGAAATCGTCCTTTTTAAGGTTGTATAACCAGGACTTCCCCATTCTATACCTATTCTGGTCTCTGCGGACCTCGGGCCCCACGTTGGGCGCCAGATGTAACGAACTGCTTTTTTATGTCTCCGCTCGCTACGTAAACGTGCGGCTAGCTCAGTTGAGTTTGTGTGTTCGTCCCACCAAATTTATTGTTGCGTGACCCCGAGACCAAAGAAGAACGCAGAGTTAGGTTAGATTTAGAATATGTGTTGGGTTTATTGCTTGTGGATTTACAGCTTGATATTGATTCGTGGCTCTGCTGTCTGACGACTCGATCTCCCTCGTTGACGCCGGTAATGTCTCCCTCGTCGACTCCTGCGGCGGAGTCTCTCACAACTCTCGGCAGGTCCTCACTCTCGTGTGGACCGACTCCGGGCACCTTTCGCATAACTCCCTCGGATTCTCGTCGGCTGGCCATCAGCAGGTTCTCAATCTCTCATGCGAACCGACGCTGGGCACCTCTCGCACAACATCCACTGGATTTTCGTCAGCTGGCCCTCAGCAGGTTCTCAATCTCTCATGCGAACCGACGCTGGGTACCTTTCGCACAACATCCACTTACTCGGACTCCACCAATATCGTCGTTTTCGAGACTCGTAGACGCACCCTACAACTTACCTTGTACCCTCGGGATCTCAGCTTGGCAGTCTCAGCTTATGTAGACGTGACCGTCGTTGGGCTCCTCGACTCGGCGATCTTGATTCCTGGTATCCTGGCACTTGTTGTTCACTTGGGCTTTCACTCGCGTTGGTACGATCTCTTGCACGACTTTCACTTGACTGTCTCGCTGCCTGCACGCGTCCTCCTTTTATACGCCATCCTGGTCCTGTAATTTCCTTCCTTCGGTGGCGTGATCGGGTCCAAAGTGCAGGACAAGTGGCGTGATCGGGTCCAAAGTGCAGGCCCAGACCCGTTAGTTCACGGTCATTCCCTTTTGTGCTGGTCCAAAGTCCGCGAACTTCACCGTTATACGGGTCCAAAGTTCAGGACTTCACCGTTATAACGGGTACAAAGTCCAGAACGGTACCGTTAGTTCACGGTCTCTCCTCTTTGCGCGGGTCCGAAGTCCGCAGACTTGCTGTTGTTGGGTCCAAAGTCTGCAGACTCACCGTAGCATTAAGTCCAAAGTCCCTGGAGCCGTTATTTCCCCTTTTATTGCTATGCAGCTCTCCTGCACTCGAAATTGTAAGGAGACTTACAACTCCTTACAATGTTATATTTTTATATATATACATATACAAGAAAGTCCGATAGAAGAAAATATTGAAGTAAGCGCTCAGGTTAATGATCATTTTTTGCAGGAAGATGTAGAGGTAGATAGTTTAAATGAAGAATCAAGTCAGGAAGCAAGCATGGAAGTAGAGCAGGATCTTAATTATAAGCTTAGGAAGTGGTTTGTAAAACACAAACCCAAGCGTAGCTGTGTTATCGATTTAATTAAAATTTTAAATGAAGAAAATTTAAATATTAGGCCTTTTTATAAATTTAATTGCAATGAAAAGCCAAATATTATGCAAGTTGGAGGTGGTTCCTATTTGCATATTGGCCTTTCAAAACAATTAAATAAACTTGATGTAGTTCCGGAACGACCGGAACGTTAATGTTGACGGCCTTTGACGTTAATGTTGACGGCCTTCCATTATTTAAAAGCTCACGTTCACAATTGTGGCCCATATTAATTAGAGTAAATAATATAAATAAATGTCCGGTTTTCCCCGTAGGAGTTTTTCGGGCCAAAATAAGCCATCCAATTCAGATGAGTATTTGTCTAGATTTACTAGGGAGTTGTCCGATGTAATGGAAAATGGTCTAACCATTTTAAATAAAAACATTAAAATTGATCTTAGAGCTCTTGTGTGCGACACTCCTGCAAGGGCATTTGTTACAGGCACACCTGGACATACATCCAGTTATGGCTGTACCAAATGCACTCAGGTGGGACGCAAAATAGATGCAACTTTAACATACAGCACTTCTTGTGCTGATTTAATTACAGATGTTGACTTTGCAAGTAGGAAATACCCAAATCATCATTCCAAAGATTATTTAGGCTCTCAGTCCGCTTTCGAAAAACGTGGCATCGGTATGGTTACCCAAGTTCCCTTGGATTGCATGCACCTCATTGAGTTGGGTGTAATGCGAAAATTTTTGGAAAGAATTTATTATAATAAAGTAAAACAAAAAATTTCTAAAGAAAATAAAATGAAGATGTCAGATATATTAACGTCAATGCGGGGCTACATACCTAGGGAATTTTCACGAAAGCCTAGAACATTGTTAGAACTTCCAAATTGGAAAAGCACTGAATTTCGCCAATTTTTATTATACACTGGAATTGTAGTTTTTAAAGATAAAATCCATGAAGAGCAGTACTATATTTTTTTGCTATTGCATTGCGCATATAGACTGCTCTGCTCACAAAAACAGCGGGAGAATAATGTTGAGGTTGCTCAACGAATGTTAAATTTATTTGTTGAAAATTTTCCCATTGTCTTCGGCGAAAACAGTGTTTCTTACAATATTCATGGCCTACTCCATGTAAGAGAGACTGTAAATCAAATCGGAAATCCGATTGCCTCTTACGCGTTTGAGAATTATTTGCAGGTATTAAAAAAAGTGGTCCGAAAGCCAACAAATATTTTAGAAGAAATTTATTGAAGAAGGGTAGAGGAATCGTATGTAGCAAGAGGAAGGGAAGAAATTAAGTTAGAAGGCAGGTTTCTTAAAATCCAAGACTGTAGACTTAGCGATAGGACACCAGACAATTTTTGTTTTGTTGGGGATGAGATCCCAATACAAATAGAGTCCTTTGAGGAGAATGAAGGAGAAATAAAACAAATAAATAATAAAACAAACTTTTTTGATGAGCCCTTAAGGTCGTCAAGCCTAGGTATTTATTTAGTAAATTTCAGAACGCAGATGGACTTTAAAAATTTTCAGTTAGGGAATTTAGAAGAAAGACTGTAGTTATGCCTTTCAAACATGAAGCAGTTTTAGTTCCCTGCTTGCACTTTTCATAGGGATTTTTAGGATTTTGGAGGTGTTTAGTCCGTAGGCGTAATTTAATTACGAATCGGGCATATTTAAAGCGACGGCGCTTTAAGTATCTTTTGAAGATTCACCTGCCATGGTTCGAAACCAAGAAAAAAAAAAATTTTAAAATAATGAAATTAATTTAATGAAATAAAACAATGATTTTAAATATGTACTTTTTTATTTACTTAGAATGTCAGAGCCAAGTTCGAAAATTCGCCGCATCAACTTTTCCGAGTCGGGTAAGTATAAGGGTGATTCCATATCAGATTTACAGTCGATATTAAGAAATTCGATGAGATATTTTTTTTCATGCACTTTATCGAAAATAAATCGACACGTATTTTTTTATATGGCTCAGAAAATTTTTTTGACAAAGTTATGATTTTTTGAATTTTTGATGAACTGCCCTTTTTTTGATGACAGTCGCGTTTTCCAGCCCGAATAACTCGAAAACCGTACGTCGCAGAAAAAAATGAATAGGAAGTAAAAATTTCATCCTTCCTTCTTCTTTGCAAAACTTTCGTGAAATAATTTTTTTTAAACAATTTTTCACCACAAAAGTTCAAATGTTTACAACAAATTAATTTTTCTCCAATTTGGACAATTTTGATTTTTTTTTTTTTATCACAATAAATCCTTCAAATTCTTCTGATGAACATACTAAAATTTCAGAATGGTATCAAAATTAGTTTTTGAGTTATAGAATATTCAAGATCATCATGCACGGTCCGCGCGCTCGGTCTCAGGGCGTGCGCCGACCAACGACTCTAACGAGCGTCAATTCGCTTCGCGCGCGCATAGTAAGGGTCAATAAAATGAATTTTTAATGCTATTTAATTCTATAACTCAAAAACAAATTTTGATACCATTCTGAAATTTTAGTATGTTCATCACAAGCATTTGAAGGATTTATTGAGATAAAAAAAAAATCAAAATTGTCCAAATTGGAGAAAAATTAATTTGTTGTAAACATTTGAACTTTTTGTAGTGAAAATTGTTTAAAAAATTATTTCACGAAAGTTTTGCAAAGAAGAAGAAAGAATGAAATTTTTACCTCCTATACATTTTTTTCTGCGACGTACGGTTATCGAGTTATTGGGGCTGGAAAACGCGACTGTCATCAAAAAAAGGGCAGTTCATCAAAAATTCAAAAAATCATAACTTTGTCAAAAAAATTTTCTGAGCCATATAAAAAAATACGTGTCGATTTATTTTCGATAAAGAGCATGAAAAAAATATCTCATCGAATTTCCCAATATCGACTGTAAATCTGATATGGAATCACCCATAAATTCCATTAAAAAAAAAACATAAATTAAACTATTTTTCTTGTATTCACAGATCATCCATCAGTACCCCGTAAATTTGTTGATTTATTTTTTAGTTTTTTTTTTTGATTACTTATTTAAATTTTATTTACAGATATCACTGCGGAGTATATAATTGAATCCTTAAAAGGTAATACTTTCTATTCGAGTATTTTTCATTTTTTAATAAAATTATTTACCTACCATTTTAGAAGAAATAACTTATTTGCGTGGGCAGAATGCTTCTCTGCACCAAAAATTAGATTTGATGGCTGAGAAGCTGGCGGAAAATAACGCGCTCCTAAAAATAAGGACGAAGGCGGAGCATAAGGAAGGGCTATCGGGGGTTCCCTTCCCCCTTAAGTCAGATGATAACTTAAATCTCTTCGAGGCCACAATGACGCCAACCCTCCGAGATTATTACGTAAGTTTTTTATGCTATTGGTGGCAAAATATTTCAACTTTTTTTCATTACAGAAACAAAAAATAACCAACATGGCCAAGAACGACCATTTCGTTAAAGCGGTCCGCATGGTTCTGGACGAAAATCTTGTCCAGAACTACAACTTGGATGGGTCAAGCGGTAAGAAAAGTCTTAAAGGCTTTTCAAACCTTTACCAAATTTTAAAAGGTAAGCAAATAAAAAAAAAGTTTGAATAACAATAATTTAATAATTTTTACATTTTCAGAGGTCTCAGAAGCAGCAGCTCCACTGGAGGATGCTGAAAAAACATAAGAAAGGCTATACACAACATTTAAAATAACCTAATTTAAAAAAATAGCAGGAAAAATTGTAAATTAAATAGTACCCTGTAAAATAATAATAGAAAAAATTATAATAATAATAAAAGAAAATATTTGAAATTATTAAAAATTGTATTAAAAACCTTTTTTTTTTTTTTGTAAAAAAAATATTTATGACTGTTCAAAAATATGTATTGGTGAATTCATATAGGACATGGTTTAAAAAGTCACCAATGGTTTCATGTAGGTCAATCTTTGAAAACTCATTGATGAATGCACCAACGACATATTCATAAAGACATTGGTGATTTCACTAAGGGTATCCTCCCAGAAGCCATCGATGAAATTGTCTCCCCCACGTCACCAACGAAATCATCAATGGCTTATACGAATTTTCTCCATACGAAATTCGTATAAAATTTTCTCGAATTTTCTCCATACGAAATTCGTATAAGCCACCGATGATATCTTATCTTATATCTTATTGTATTACAGTCGAGTCCCGATAATTCGAAATGGTAAGGGGATCACTTTTTTTACGAATTAGACGGGAATTCGATTTATCGAGATTTTTTTCAAGGGATTTTTTTCAAGGAAACAGAATTTTTTACGAATTATCGCGATTTTCGATTTAGCGGGGTACGAATTATCGGGATTCGACTGTATATCTTATTGTCTTCCTCCTAATTTTTCTCGGCCTTTTTCTTATTTTTCTAAGTCGCGACACTCCTCTCGTGAATTTTATTATTTTAAATTTAAAATTAAAATAAAATTTAATTTAGCTTAACTTTTCTTTCGCGTCAAAATTATCGCGAATCGTGCCGTACGTTACACGGCGGTCGCCCCTCGGTCGGTTGGGCGGGAAAGTGGGCCGTGGGACTACGCGCGTAAACAAAAAAAAAAAAAAAAAAAAAATGACTCGTTCGATGAAACGGACAAAATTGTCATCCAGAGCGTCATGCATGACAAAACCGGCGATCCCATACAAATGACTATATGAATTGTCATTGTCATCGGATAGCCACCAGTGGCTGCTTCCCCTGTCATCGGTGGGTCGTCGTCCATTTCATCGACGAAAAACCACTTTTGGAACTGCAGGGTAACGACCGTATATGTGTACAACAATCGCTGTTAAGGCACCGGGATCGTTTCCATATATCAACTTACATAAACGCATAAAAATATAAAATAAATAATAAAAAATAATAAAAACAGCAATACTATAAAAAAAGGAATTACTAAATTAAACCTGCTGAAAAAAAAAAAATCAAGTAAACGTCTATGTGCTTATGTTACACCTGCTTGTGAAACTTTTCCTGAGGCGGCAGAGTGGCTGAACAACACGTGGTGCCACGTTGGCTTATACACTGTCGAAATCTTTTTTTTGCACACTACGAACAACAAAAATAAAACTACATCAACCAAAAAAGAAAAAATAATAAAATCAATAAAATGAAAAAAAAAATTTTAATTAGATATATATAAAAAAAAAAGAGAATAAGGAAAATTAAGAGAAAAGAAAGAAACGACAAAACAATTCACAAACAACTTAACGCATATTGTTGTCACTTGTTCACTAACCTCTAAAATACACTCTATATATATAATAATAATAAATGGCTTTAACAACCCTAACGGGTCACAGCCTGATGCATTAGTTCCCTCCACGCGTCCCTGTCCTGGGCGCGTCTACGCCAGTTGGCAATACCAAGTGATGCAATGGGTTGAATCACTTGGTCCTGCCATCGAATCCTTGGTCTTCCCCTCCTACGTTGTCCTATATATATTTTTATATATATTTATTATATATATATATTTATTAATATTTCATTAAATCGAAGACATTACAGTTGAACTCGACAACATCCATAAAAAACAAAAACCGGCAGAGGTGGAAGGCATCGCAACACTACTACACAAACAACTAACACTAACACAGGGATCCAAGGAAAAGAGGAAACTTCGTAGCGGATACACACACACAGGTTTTCTTTTATTTTAGGAAATAGCCATATGCAAATAAATATAAACATATATATACGTGGAAAGCCATACATACATACATTTACTAGCACCCAAACATGGATACATACATAGTATTAAATATTTGAACACACCATATAATATTCCTATAGTACAAAAATACACATACATCTTATTAATATAGACATATATATAATTACAACTAAATAAATTGTTGCTATATACATACATACCATTACCATACCCTTATACATATATAAGTTTTTGGCGATTATTTGCAAACATAAATATAGATTCCTTTTCAACACACGTAAATTTTAAAAAAAGAAGAAGCCACCACTAGTAACACAGTTAGGGACAGACTAAGGCTAAGGAGCGGGTCTAAACTGTCTGAGATAAGAGAAGCGGTAATAAGAAAAGAGAAAGACCAATTTGATCAATCCCAAAGTAGTAGCCCCTCTAACGCCATGGATTCCGGTAACGCATCAGGGCCACTAAATCCCACCGTTAACAATACTGGAACTTCTACAAACACAAGCCTGAATCTACAACAAATACTAGCCCTCGTACATCAGCTACCCACCTACGAAGGACCACCTGACAATCTTGATAGATTTATAAATAGAGTAGAGCAGCTACTTTCGATCAGTGGGCCAAGCAGCATGCGGACAGTACTTACTTGGAGCTATCCGCGACAAAATTAAAGGCAGGGCGGATGAAGCGCTGAGTGTTTGTGATGTACTCCTCAGTTGGGATGACATCAAAACAAATCTTAAGCGACTATACTCTAGCAAGAAAACTGAAGAAATGCTTGTTAGAGAGCTACACAATCTTCCGGACGGACTCTGTATGGGAAAACTATATTTTACAGCTACGAAAATAAGAAGCGAATTAATGTCACTGGCCAGAGAAGCAGACCCAAATGGACACTCCCTCACGGCCAAACATGACCAATATGACAGATTCTGCCTGACATTTTTTAGAATACTTTTTTAGTTGGATTAAAGGACCCACTTAGGTCAGCCATCAGGAACCAAAGGCCAGAGACAATCGAGAAAGCGTACGAGTACGGGCAGATTGAAATAAACTTATCTAAAAACTTGAATAAAAACCAAGAAAACCGACTTCGCAACAGCTGGACAATGAAGCAATGGTGACTACAATAGCCGCTACATACCACGACAAAAGAACTATAGTCATGTTCAACGATATGATAACAACAACAATTACAACAATAATCGCTTTACACAGCTACAAGAAAATTTCAACAAGGATAATAGTGGTAATTTTCCACTGCGCCAACAGAACTTTAACAACCATAATAATGAAAGTCGATTTACACCTCAACAGAATTTCAAAAATGATAGTAATGGTCGACACGATAGACAAACTTTGGGCAGGAACCCCTTCAACAACAACAACAAACCAGATCAGGCCCTAAACCACCAAGACAGGAACAACCATAAACCGAGTGCTCCCCTATGTAACATCAACGATGATGAAAATTTTTTACTAGAAGCCTCGGGAAGCCAGTCGGTTACATAAGCAAGAAGACACACGGATCTTCCTTGCCATTTGTTTACCTATCATCAAATTCCATTTTGTCAAACCCTCTCAAATTCCTAATAGACACTGGATCTACCTACTCATTCATAAGCCCAGAACTTATAAAGGGAGGCTACATTAAAAAACTAACCTCCGATATCAATATCCACACTGTTCTCAATACATTAAAAATTCAAGAATGTACAGATAGAATAAATTTTAAACAATTCGAAAAAATGTGCAATTTCAAATTCTTACTATTCAATTTCCACCCACACTTCAATGGCCTCCTAGGCATGGATATCCTATCCGGCCTAAATACAAAAATAAACTTTGCCGACTCAATACTAGAAACACCAGAAACCGCCATCCCAATTCTCACAAGAGCAAACCCTGTAGACACCCTACACACTCTACCACAAAATACTAAAATGCGATTACCGCTCCCAGTAAACTTCATGGAGGGAGACTTTATATACGAAACCACGATTTTGGATAATCAAATATCCATAACAGGTGACTTAAACACCGCAATCGCCGGATCCTTTTATTTTGAAGTTTGCAATAACTCAAATCAAACCCAAACACTTTACCTCGAAGAACCGTTACAAGCAGAAGAATTTTCCCCACGAACCCACCCATACTTAAACTGCATGTCCGCGGCAACAGAAACAGAATGCCAAAACGATCAGCAGTTCAACATTCAGACAGAACACCTCAACAATGAGGAAAACCAACAAATACTCAAACTATGCAGATCATTTAAAAAACTCTTCCATGACGAAAACAACCAACTAACGTTATCTAACTCCGTCAAACACTCTATACCAACAACAGATAACATACCGATTCACACGAAATCTTACCGTTACCCATTTGTGCATAAAGACGAAGTTCAAAAACAAATTTCAAAAATGCTCGAACAAAACATAATTAAAACAGCCATTCCCTTTGGAGTGCACCCGTCTGGGTCGTACCAAAGAAAAGTGATACCACAGGCGAAAAAAAGTGGCGCTTGGTAATCGATTTTTGGAAATTAAATAAGAAAACTGTCTCCGATAGATACCGATGCACTCAGCAGAATCGAGCCAAATTTAAACATAAACGAAGACCCACAAATTATACCGATCGTTTCACAACCAATAAATCATTTCAATAATCAAACAATATTCCGTACCGGTTCAACAACTTCAAGACACATAGAAACACTATTTGTACATAAAACAAGACACATAATCACAGAACCCGTGCATACTTTCGACTCCGTTACAAACACCCTTCAAAAAATCCTGAAGCCGACTAAAACATTTGCAATATTTGCACCAGACGATATTTTCAAAATAATAGAAGAGTCCTATAATAACTATTTTTTCGAAAATGACTTGTACAAAATTTCCCGCTGCAAAATATGGCTAACCGATATCACTAACCCCCACGACCAGGAAAGCAAAATTCGTGCATACCACTTTAATACCAATCATAGG